AAAAAATGGATGGAGCAATATGAGTCCTCTCTTCTCAACTTGTAGTTCTGTAGAGACAGAGAGGTACACACAATAGTGCAGATGGCTATAGACAAGTGTGGCTAGGTGATAGATGAAAACACTCACAAACGTAGAGCCAATTGGACCTGGCTCTGGTATCAAGGCCTCAGGATCTTTTGGGGGTGATCCAAATCCCTCTGGAGATGTTCTGGATGTCCAAGGATACTTTAAACGTAGAGCCAATTGGACCTGGCTCTGGTATCAAGGCCTCAGGATCTTTTGGGGGTGATCCAAATCCCTCTGGAGATGTTCTGGATGTCCAAGGATACTTTCTTGTTCCACCATAAACAGCAAGGGATTCAGTTAGATGTAAAGTAAAATATAATTTATTAATACATATAAAATATATAGGAAAGATAAGTATGAAATAACAGCCAAAACGCGTTTCGCCTCTTGGGCTTCCTCAGTTGGCTGTGTACTAGTCTCTGAGTCCTTCTCTGCCTTTAAACGTTGGTTTCGCGGTCTTTTTCAACGTGGAACGCACCTTGCGTTCCATCTTCCTGATCGTTGGTTACTTCCGGGTTCTGTGGATGCGGACAATCACGTGGGGCGGTCTTTTCGTAGGTGGAACGCATCTTGCGTTCCATTCTCCGATCTGTGTTTACTTCCTGGTTTTGGTCATGTGAGTCATCACGTGTATAGCGTTTCGTGCACGTGATATCTAATTTGCATTGTGGAATACTCTTTCGATGGATATTCCTCTCGGGCTAATGATTCCATAATAAGTTCACTAACATATAAATATGATAATCACTGTATGCTAATTGACCATTATAAATGTAAATATACCTGGGTAAACAACAAGATAAATGGATATATAAACAGACTCTTTGAGGTAGCAAAACATTTAGCTTTAAAATTAACAATTGGATAGCTAAGTTCTTAAAGTGACAGTGCATGATTCTAAACATAACCTAATCAGTATTTAGGAATGCAATTGTTTGGCTCAAAAAGGCTGTTTTACACAGGGCTTCAATTTTAAACAAAAAAAAAAAGAGAAAGGGAAGAAAAAGAAAGAAGAAGAAAGAGAAAGTAATGTTAATGGATCATGTGAAACAGAATTTTACCATGGAGATGTATATACATTATACCCTTATTTCCTTAGATTTGTAAAGTGACAGTGTACAATTACTTTTAATGTAAACTCAGCTCATAAGTGACTTGGTGCTTGTGTGCTTAAAGTGACAATGCTTTTATGATGTTCTGAAAAATATTATTATACATAGTTTTGCAAGATCTTGGTTTAATCTCATATTAATCTCAAAATAAATACATATATTTATGACTAATGGATGGAAGAGAAAAAAAAAAAAAAAAAGGGAACTATAAAAAGTGGCATAATTCGAAATCTTGATTAAGGCCGTGTGGAATAAGTGTTTTAAAATTATAAATAAATTTCATCTCTTCTTCTCCTATTTTTTTATTAAAATCTCCTCCCCTCCAATCTTTTTGTACCAATTTGAAGGCGCAAAAGAACATGTTTTTTGGTTCACTGTTGTGGTGTATCTTAAAATGATTCGATACACTGTGCGTTTCTAAACCCTTTTTGATGTTTCTTACATGTTCTGCGATCCTGACATGTAGGCTTCTAATAGTTCTGCCTACATACATCAGACCACACGGGCATCCAAGAATATAAATGACATTTTTTGAAAAACATGTTAGTAGATTATTAATTGTGAATTTTTTATCTTTTTGGTAGTTGAAGGAGGTGATGTGTCTTTTACTCTGATTGGTACCTCTACAGGCTAGACAGGATCCACAACCATATAAACCTTTATTTTTATTTAAAAAATGTTCTGTATTTTTATTTTTAAAACTACTTTTAACTACCATTTGTTTTAGATTTTTACATCCTCTATACACTATCATCGGCTTGGGAGGTAAAATCTGTTTTAAAATAGGGTCTTCTTGTAGGACTGGCCAGTATTTTTTAACAATTTTTCTTATAGTGGCATTGTTTCCGCTGTGGTTGCATATAAAGGGAATTTTTATTTTGCTTTCATTATATGTATTGTTTTTCTTTTTTGTATTTCCTTTAGATTTAATAAGTTCCTGTCTTCTAATTTTTCTAACTTCTTCCATACATATCATTAGTTCAATTTCACTATAGCCTTTCTCTATAAATTGCTTTTTAATTTTTTCTGCTTGTAGTGTGTAGTCTTCCTCTTTGGTACAGTTCCTTCTGATTCTTAGAAATTGGCTTTTTGGAGCGTTGGATAACCACGGGGTGTAGTGACAACTCTTCTTTTCGATGTAACTATTAGCGTCTACGTCTTTAAAATAGTTCTTTGTATGTATAGTTAAATCTGAGATGAAAATCTCCAGATCTAAAAATTGGATATGACTCTTGCTGTATGTAGACGTTAAAACGATCCCCCACTCATTGTTGTTTAAAACTTCTAAGAAATCATTTAATTGTGTTTCTCTTTCTGTCCATATAAAAAAAATATCGTCAATGTAACGGCGATAGGACACCAAGTTCGCAACTTGGGTATTTTGTGTGACAACCTTCTCTTCCCAATACGCCATAAACAAGTTGGCGTAACTCGGGGCGAACTTGGTGCCCATCGCCGTGCCTGTGATTTGTAGAAAAAATGAATCCTTAAACCAAAAATAGTTATTAGTTAAGATTAAAAGGATGCCCTCTAAAATAAAATCTGTCTGTATGTCTTTAAAATCTGCTTTTTTTAAAAAATATTGCACTGCCTCTATTCCCAAATGATGGGGTATGATACTGTATAGGGAACTCACATCACTTGTGACTAAAAAATAGTTGTCGCTCCATTTAGTGTCATTTAAAATTTGCAACATATGTATAGTGTCCTTAAGATATGATGGATTTCTTATAACTATCGGTTGTAGTAATTTATCGATATATTCTGAGACTCTTGAGGATACGGAATCTATACCCGAGATAATGGGTCTTCCTGGGGGATTCTTTTTGTTTTTGTGGACTTTTGGTAGATAATAAAAAACTGGAGTTTTCGGATATGGGATAGATAAATATTTCTTTTCATCTTCTGTTAAAATTCCTAACGTCACACCTTTTTCAATATACCTTTCAAATTTCTCTTGTATGTCTATACTAGGATTAGTATTTATCTTTTTGTATGTTTTTTCATCTAATAGGATCCTTTCTGCTTCTTGTACGTAATCGTCAGTTTTCAATACTACAACCCCCCCCCCTTTATCGGCTGGTTTAATGGTAATTTTTTTATCTTTTTTCATATTGTTTATAGCTTTGAATTCTGTCGAAGATAGATTTTTTTGAAATTTATTCAATTTTTTAATCTTTTGTCCTTCCATTATTAACATTTTTTCAAAAGTTTTCATCTCATCTGAGATCATGAATCTTGGAAAAAAATGAGATTTTTGTTTTAATTCGGTTTGTATAAATTCTGATTCTTTTTCAAAAATACTATTTGGCTGTTTATTAAAGAAGAATTTTTTAAGGCTTAAATGTCTAATAAATTTATTGACGTCTATAAAAAAATTAAAATCGTTAAAATCTGATGTGGGAGCAAATTTTAAGCCTTTATTTAAGATATTTATCTGTTCTTTTTTTAAAGGGGATCCTGTTAAGTTAAAGATTCCATCCATATTCAGTTCCTCCCCCTTTTTTCTCTGCTCCGTAGTTCTTCCTCTTCTTCCTCCTCTAATTCTCCTTCCGATAGTCTTGATCTTTTCCCTGGTGATTCGCCTATCTGTTGAAATCGTTTCCGATGGTGTTGGATTGGGTCCTGCCGAAAAAATGTATCCTGATCTTGAGCTTCTAGAATTTTGAATCTATTTGTTAGTGGAATTTCGTTAGGGTTGGTGGGGTGAGAATAATTTCTTCCTGTCTTTGGAGCTTGTTTATATTCTATTTGTTGTTGATTTCTCCTTGGGTTTCTTACCACTTCACTATATGTTCTATGATCATATTGATTGTTCCTTGTTGGTCTCTCCGTTCTAGGGTCTCTAGGTCTCTCTTCTCTGAAATCCCTATTTCTGTTATTAGTTGTTTGTGTATTAAAATCTTTAATTCTAAAATTATGTCGTGATTCATAAAAGTTCTGTCTCTGTCTTTCTCTGTTATAGTTAGTCTGTTTAAAAAGTGGTTTCTGAGTTCTGTTATCTTTATAATTGTTTCTTACGTTCCCGGTTTTATAGTCATTTATGTCTCTTAGATATTTCTTTTTCTTAATCTCTATGACATCTTTTTCTACTTTTTCAACTTTTTTGATATGGATTGACACCTGTCCTCAGAGCCCCTGATACACACTGACACAGATCAGAATAGGGAATGTTACCCCAACATAGGGTCACTTGGCAGATATGGATTGACACCTGTCCTAAGGATCCCTGATACACACTGATACACACCTACTTGAATGGTATAGACATTTTTAGCAGCTCCTGGCCCGAACACCTGACCCACATAGGAGCCGTATTAGACCGGATTAGGGAGTCCGGACTGACCCTAAAGCCCAGTAAGTGCCATATAGGAACGTGTAAAAACCTCCCCAAGATAGTAGTATGGGCCCCAGAATGTGAACAGGCCTTCCAACAGCTCAAGACGGCGCTCATTAAATCACCTGTACTTTCTTCTCCTGATCCAACTAAACACTTTCTCGTCCATACAGACGCTTCTATGCTTGGATTGGGAGCAGTATTGAGCCAAGTCGGAGCAGATGGTGGCTAGCAACCCGGGGCTTATCTAAGCCGTAAACTTTTGCACAGGGAAGTAGATACACTGCCATTGAAAAGGAGTGCATGGCGGTGGTGTGGGCCCTCAAAAAGCTGCAACCTTACTTGTATGGACAACCGCTTACCTTACTCACAGATCACAACAAATTTGGGGCACTGCGCGTGCAATCTAATGTGCCACCAGATAGGAGTGGTGTGTTTAGTACTATTGTTATCAGTTTAATCACTGTTACGCCCCCTATCCGCTGATGTGGAGCAAGACGCAGCAGCAGAAGAGGACTAAGCCGAGGAGGTTATGGAAGAGGATGGAGTAGGAGGAGTAGAGGAGGTGGCAGCGTACTGGCAGAGTACACGCTGTAGGGCTGACACACCTGCTTGAAGATAACTAACTGCTATTCAATCTATACAGTGAAAAAAAAAATTTGTTTTTAAATCCAAGCTATTGTGACACCAGTGAGTGAGTGGTGTGTTTAGTACTATTGTTATCAGTTTAATCACTGTTACGCCCCCTATCCGTTGATGTGGAGCAAGACGCAGCAGCAGAAGAGGACCAAGCCGAGGAGGTTATGGAAGAGGATGGAGTAGGAGGAGTAGAGGAGGTGGCAGCGCACAGGCAGAGTACACGCTGTAGGGCTGACACACCTGCTTGAAGATAACTAACTGCTATTCAATCTATAACAGTGAAAAAAAATTTTTGTTTTTAAATCCAAGCTATTGTGACACCAGTGAGTGAGTGGTGTGTTTAGTACTACTGTTATCAGTTTAATCACTGTTACGCCCCCTATCCGTTGATGTGGAGCAAGAGGCAGCAGCAGAAGAGGACCAAGCCGAGGAGGGTATGGAAGAGGATGGAGTAGGAGGAGT